TGAGGCTCCCCCCGTACTGCTAGGGCTGTTGTGAGCTGAGGGGGCGCTCCTCAAGTGGCAGTCCAGGGGCATTTACAGAGGCACCTCTGCGCCCCTGGCAAAAAAAGTGTTCTGCGAACGCTTACCTCGCATAATGGACGAGCCGCCCCTGGCTGTAAGATAAAACCAGTAAGTCACTTGGTGACATTGGCAGAGTCCCTGCATGTGAGTCCACTTGAACCTCTATGTTTACCTGCAAGACTGATGACTCTGGTTTTGCCTAGGAACTCTCCAGGATATCTATTTCTTCTCTGATGCCCAGAGAAACGGATACTTAAAGCAACAGCAATTGTGCTTCATTAGTAATACAATTGTCATGGTTTCATTGTATACAATTAGAACAATGGTTAATAAACTGGAAAAAAAAATAATAGAAATGGAAGCCAACTCAATCAATTCGAACAAATAATACAGAAGGGAAGGGCTGTAGAAGAACATGAAAACTTGAGAGGTATAATTAGCAAAATGTATAAGATACTAATTGAAATGAAGGATGAAAAAATAAAAAAGTGTACCCTTAAGGAGATTTGGGAAGAGGATTTAGGGATGAAAATAAGTGAAACAGAGTGGCAACAGTTATGGGGACAAAGACATTTAAAAAATTTATCAATATGAGTTAAAGAAAATTATTACAAGTTAATATGGAAGTGGAACTTGACACCGGTAAGAATAGCATATATGAATAAAAATAACTCAATAAATTGTTGGAGAGGGTGTCAAGAACCAGGAACATATATACACATGTGGTGGCAATGTAAATATGTAAATAATTTTTGGGAGAAAGTATTTAGAGAAATAGAAACTATAATGAATATGAAAATAGATAAAAGTCCTAGTATTTTTATTATTTATTTATTTACTGCATTTGTTGACCGCCGTTGTCAGCCCTAGGGCGACTCACGGCAGTGTACAACATATAAAAACAGTTTACAATAAAGCCATAGCACAACGAAATATCAACATAACTATCAATAATA